AAAGCTGCTCTAAGGGAATATGGGGAGTTTAAAGCCTGTTTCAGAAAATCTATTTTGAGCAAGTCCTAGCTTACCTTAAGGGGAGGGGTAAACATCTGGAAACGGGAGGCACAAGCGTTAAGAAAACAAGCAGGTACACGACCAAATCTACTGACTCCAAACACCCAGGAGGCCCTGTCAGGGAGCTTGTACTTACACAGGAGACTCCTATACTTTTCTTTTAAAGAAGCCCCGTTTAAAACAGACTCCAGTGTCTACGAGAACACTTGTGCAGGCACACGTGCAAAGAGCCAGGGATGTTCTAAGCTGTACTAAAGGGATTTTAAGTCTTTACCCAGATGACAGCTCTGAGTGAGAGACCAAGAAGCATCCTAATACCAAGCAAGAGTGATCTGGCCAGGCCCCAACAGAAAGCAAGGAATGGAAGTAAAAGAATCGGCAGTTACCATCCAAGAAACCCAAACGCACAAGTAAGAACTTCTGCCCAACAGTAAGGTACTGCTAAGCTACTTGCCACATCGCTACCAAACTTATAAGGTCCCTAGTACGTTCAACTCTGTTCCAAGCTGCAGTACCAGTAAGCGGGGGGTGGGGGGTGGGTGGGTGAGAGGTAGCTGGATCAATCTGACCATATAAGACAAAATTAATCACTAACAGGAAAAAGGGAGATTAAATTTGGGCTTAGGATGTCTACTAATGGCCAAACCAGCAACACAGCCTCCACACGAATGCTCACTCTTTATGTATGCACTTCTGTGACCTAGAGGGGCTATCCGAGAAAAACACATCCATAAGCTACCTGATCCTTCTACGTTCTGAAATGGCACTATTTCGGCTTGGGATCTTCAGAATCTGTTACAGAAGCCTGTGTTTTCCGGTTTCTCTAAATACCTGTGCTGGCAGATGTCTGTCTCATTTTCTATATGGGAAAACTGAAGCCCTCAGTGCCTTCTCCATTTCTCACCATTGGGGTTTCTGAATCTCTGCATCGGATCAAAACTGAACACAATGTTTAGTTTTCACTGGACCAGGAGGATGGGAACGAGGTGAGAATGACCATCTTAAATAGGATAATATCCCCAAATAATGAGCCAATAGCCAAGAACTACAGGAAGTTGAAGCCAAAGCCACAGATTACCTAAGAATATCCTCAAATTCCAAAGCATATACCTGTATACCCCAAAAGAGATATAATTTGGGAATTGTCCCTACAAAGCAAAACATGAAGGATAACTAGTACATCAGGAGACGTAAACTGTAGCACCCAATTCTTAGAGGTTACGGTTACATCTGCTGGTAATGTTTGGATGCAGGCAGAAGCCAAAGTGGGCCAATCAGACTTCGTGCCCCAGTGCTGGTGTCCATCCTGAGGAAGGATGGAGAAAAAAGGTTGCTGTTCAATTGCTGCCTCTAGACAGAAGACACCTTTTGCTCTCAGGAAACACCTGTCTATACAATATAAACACTATTCTTTTCTAACTAAAAGGTGTTGTATGTAGAACCTGCAAGGTTCTCCAGATATATGGGCCCACGTACATCTCCCCAACATGAGATCTCCTACGTCACAATTTGGCGACTGCAGATAGAACGAAGAGTCCTTAGGATGAGGATGTGAGAAACTGACATTTTTGGGGTGTCTCAATCAGTTCTTTGGACTAGTTATTTGGAGGGAATAACCAATGTATCTAAAGGGTAAAAAATGGGGAACTGGAAAACCCATCGCAGAGTTCCTTTTCCTTGTCTTGTCATAGGCCTGCACAGACCAAATGACTTTTCTGGGTACTGGGTTAAGGGATTCTTCAGTCATCCAAATGGAATCACCCTAATGGAAGAAACAGTCCCATTTTACAGGTGGGAGAAATGAAGCAAAAGGACAGCTAAAGTCTCAGGTTCAGATGTTCAGTCCCCAAAGTACTAATTATCAGTGGATCTCACAAGTTCTCTATCAAAAGGCTGTGAAAAGCAAAGCCACCAGGAATGGTGACATGCAGGGACATGTTCTAACTGCTGAATTGAATGTAGCCCCAGAGACTACAATCCGTGCTCTGCACTGACAAGTGCCTCCCTCGTCACTGTTCTCCTAGTCTCCACTCTGAAGGACATACACTGTGAGCAGCAGGATTGGGGAAGGGGGGACACTGGACCCACAGCAACACTAGCAACTGTGCTAGCTCAAACAAGAGAAGGGAGATGCTGCCGCTGCCACCGAAGGGTGAGACAGGGACAAAGGTCTACCCCAATGCCTAGCTCTCCTGCCCACTCTGAGGCCAAATTAGCCAAGGGCTATTAGCAGCTCCACCTCCCCTCAAGTCTGTTTTTCTGGAAGATATATGGGCACCTTCTCAAACTCAACCTGTTGCAAAATCTAGAAAGAAGTATCTGGAACCCACAGCCTAACTGTTGATTTTATGTGGACTACCTTAGATTCCAGTGATCTCAAGCGCTCTAAAATTTTGTGGAATAAATAAGTGGTTTAAGAACAGAGAAGGAGGGGCGCCTGGGTGGCTCAGTAGGTTAACTGCCTGACTTTGGCTCAGGTCCTGATCTCATCGTTCATGAGTTCAAGCCCCGCATCGGGCTCTCTGCTGTCAGTGCAGAGCCTGCTTCAGATCCTCTCTCTGCCCCTCTCCCACCTCTCAAAAATAAAACTAAAAAAGAAGGGAAGCAGTTAAAAAGTTTCACTTTTCATTTTCCCACTTATTCGCCTCCTACAAAAGACGACAGAAAAGAATTTCCAGCTCTAACTGCTTAAATTAATGGCGGATAATGCCAAACAACAAAGTAGAAGGCGGCACCACATAACAGAACTTTCTTGTTAGCAGGTTGTCAGCAGGCCTAACACCACAGTTTCTGCCTACAGTCCCACCATAGCGTGTGAAGCACAGGTACTCTCAGGTAGCGGGAGGCTTTCCTTCCCCTTCTTCATCCAGTCATCCATCCAGCCACCCCTCAGACACGACAGAACCGCTCCTAAGCCTCACCCCTCCTCACCCTGTTACTTCAGACCAACCAAACTGGCAAAAAAAAAACCCCAGGACAC